GATACTATGTTCTCTGGTTCGACTGTCGTCGATCTACTGTAAATACTGCAAGTTGGTATTTACAACCCTAGTAGCAGATACGTAGTTAGATATGTAAGATCTCGATGCTGATACAGTATTGAGATTTGCCTTTATGGACAGCTTTAGTTCAGTGTTACTGCAGGGGATCCATCCCCCCGGTGGTGTTACCTGGGGATCTGCTTTAGGATCAGTTAACTTCTGAGTGGCTGCTTCTGAGTAGCATGAGTAGAATATATATCTTCTATTTCTACAGCCGTGTAGAAGATAATATATTTCTTTCTTCTGTTTTTGACTGTGACTTACAAAATGTTAAATATTAAACATCACATTAATTCTGTGAATCTTAAGACCAGCTAAGGCAAAAGCTTGAGTTGCAGTAACAATAAATACATTTTAATTTAATTTTCTTTAAAAATTCCTTTTCTCTCTAGATATGAAAAGTCCTAGAGTCTCCTTTGTCCCGGAATACATCTGTAATTACCCTTATTGCTTTATAGCCAAATTGCAGTAAATAGGTTGCTTAGAAGTTTTTAGCATTGGGAGTACCAGAATGTTCTTTGAGTATCAAGTTTGATTGTAAATGCTTATTCTTTGATATCTCTGAATACTTTAAAAGACGGATACTACATATTTGTAATCTGGCCCCCAATAGTAATGCCACAAGGCACAAAGATATCACATTATCTTTTAGTTATTTTTAGTGCAAATGGCATAGAATTTAATATTTAAACCTTTGTGATGGTTCAGAATTTTGGTCTGTGTTTCTAATTGAACAGCTGCATCTGTATTTAATCTTAGAATAACTTTGCTAAACCCCAAGTTTTGAAAGTGTGGTAAACTCTAGGGTCTGATGTGTCATACAGGTTGGATTGGTGGCTTTTTTACTGGAACCATTCTTTTGACTCCTCTGAAACGTTTTGTAGAAACGTACACCAGTTCATTGATACCGATTCACTTGCTGCATGGTACCTGCAGAACACTCCTCTGCGGTACAGATCTCCTTCTTCTATTGGAAGAGAAAACTTCTAATGCTCGGAAGTTGAATTTTGTGTTTCTAGCTTTCTGAATATAAGAACACCCTTTTCTTGAGTTTTCTTTTTTTTTTTTTTTTTTTGCTGCTCGTCCGGTTTCTTAGAGCTTTCGGCAATACTAGATTCCAAGCTCTTTGCTGTGGGGTGTGCTTACCTCCAAAACTCTTCTTACCCATTGTGATGTAAAATGAAGATACCGAGTACAAGAACAATCTTATGAGATTTAACTGAGGTTCAGTGTCTTCCATCAATTGTGTTTTTTGTTTAAGACGTTCTGTACATTGCTAGCAATTCATACAGCTTTTTATTCCTGTTTTTAGTAGCTTAGAGCTTTGTTGTAAAATGCTGTTTAGATAGAGCTTTCTCAGCTGTCAGGTGTATTTGCATATGTAAAGTTTGATACACTGAAAGCGTTGTTTGGCCTTCAGAATTACCTAGAATGAAAATTATCTAGCCATTCGAGAATGAAAAAGTGTTTGCATCCTTCAGATAGATTTGTTTTGAAATATCAATTCTATTTGGGCTTTTCTGACTTCTGTTGTAGAAATTAATTTTGTTTGCAGACTGCATGGAACTACCATTACAGTCACAGTTTGATACTGACAGTACAACTGTCGTCACACTCTGCATGTTGGCAGTCAGGAGCTCCAGCCCTGGTCCATTGGCTAGCCAAAGGCACGTAGTAAACAAGTTTGGCTCAGCTGGCTTGAGCAGAACTGCACCTTGATTATACCCTGTGGAGTAACGGTTATACCTTGAGCTGCGGTTCTGTATGCTGACGTATATGGAAGTGCTTTTATAAGAGATACAAACAAGCGTATTGTTGCGCGTGAGTAAGAGCACATGGAAAGCAGATCATACTGGAAGCAAATACGATGCTTTTGTTTCATTAACTGCTATAAATACAGGCTCTGGGTTTCAGATCTTCATGAATACTGTTAAGCATCTTTCTGAAAATGGAATGTCCCTAAAGATCAATTGGGGTTACGTTGTTAATAGAGCCTGGGGAAATAAAAGTGTAAAAGCCCAAAAGGGTGGAGAAAACCTCTGGTTTCTGTAAAGACGGTACAAAATTTTCCTGCTCATGTTTATTTAAAAACAAACAACCCCACAACAGAAGAAATTCAACTGCGTTATCACTTTAGCCTTAAAAGAATTAAAAAAGATCCTTTTCACCTGTTAATTTTATACGTTTATGGTACTGTGCTGTAATTTTGGAACACTTCTAGTGACTGTACTTTAATTTTTAACTTATTTTAACATAAATCATGGAAAGTCCAGTTAAGAACGCCCACGTATCAGTACTTAAGATCAGTTCTATGTTTCTCAAAAATACTTACACATTTTAAAATAAGAAGAATGTATTTTAAAAGCTAGGGTTTTTTGTGGACTAAGAAACTGCATGAAAATATTTCATAGTGTAGGTTTTTAATCCACTGTTAACAATGTTTTAAATGTATGAAAAAAATATTCTCTAACTAGGCAAAGCAATTTGACCGTGTTACCAAAACAGTTGTTTAATATATCATCCTATAATTTACACAGTGTGCCAGTAGCTGGGAATGTTTGGGTCTGCATTTTTCTGAAATTCTATTTTGGGATTGAGCAGTAACTTCTACAGTTCTCCATCGTCAATACTCCATAATGAATAGCTTGGTAAGAATAAAATTAATTTATCTGAGCCTTTGGTTCCTGAAGTATACTGTTGTTTGAGCTTGTTTAGGTTTTCCTTGATTAGGAGTTTTTGCATAAATGAGCAAAATGCTCACTACTATTTTTAAAATAGTGCTGCAAATAACTTTTTTTTTTCCCCCAAAGGCTTCTTGCGCAATATTTGTGTATCAATCCTGCATTGTATTGCTGTTGGATAGTAACATGAAAGTCTAGCCTGTTTCATTATTAAACAAAAAAAAATGCAGCAACAAAAACATTTTTATTTGAAAAGCATGTTTTTCACTTTTAATCAGTTTTTATAATAGCATATTCATGTTGCAGTGTTGATCTTTTCATGCTGTTTAAAGATCTGCAAGATATTTCTTAATGCTATTTTAAAATTACCTGTAATGTTGCAGGTATCCTAGATATGAACCGTTACTATTTACGCTTCTGTTACAGTCTTTAGTTCATTGCACTTAATCTGGCATTTGGATTAGTGGTTTTCCCTGCTCAAAAATCTTGATGTCTGGTTCTATTTAAAATACTAAGAGTAAAAGCATCAGGAATCAAAATGTGTTCTGCCTCAGCCTGTATGCTGAGTGGGAGTGCTGTTTCCATGGCAACACACAGGATAGTGGGGGGGGAGGCTGATGCCTTTTCCCCGATTCTGAGAGTTTACATATCCAAACACGATTATTCTTAGCAAGATTCTCTTAAAAATCAGTGTTTGTAGGAAAGAACGAAATAATGTTAGTGAAAATTGTCGAGATACAAACCACCACAAGAAACGTCTGGATGTTTCTTCTTTAATCATGAAGATTTGTTAGTGCAACACGCAGCTTTTTGCTAATGCTAGAAAAATGTACTAACCATAGCAGCAGTGATCTCGGACATGTTAAACGAGGGGTGTTCCAGCGTTTGATGGTGCTGTAAATGCTGTTGGACAAAACCTTGCTTCACCCTTTTAATGAAAGCTGCCTTCCTTTGGGAGGCTATATTATTAAATATAGTTGACATTTCACTGGGAGCAAGTTCTGAATAAGCAAAGGGTAAATAGTCACCGTTCCAGAGATGACAAAGCTTTGCAATTAATTTTATTTTTTTTAGAAATGGCAGGTTTTACAGCAGGTAATATGCTAAATTGGTCTTCCATTACTGTAGTGCAGCTGTCTCTCAGCCTCGCCCATTTTATTTATTACAGGAACCATAGGCTGATATGTTTTCCGTGCTCAAGCTTATAGATAAATCCTTCTTCCCTAAGTGGATTGAGAAACCATTACGTTCTACTGTTGGAATATGTTGGGGTTTTTCTTTGAAGGCTGAATATTTTGTATGAGGCTATTTTATTTAGTCATTAGAGGTGAATTTCTTTCTTGATTAAAAATACACAAACCTGAAATTACAGGAAAGAGAAGTGCAAACCCCAGAGTACTGTCTGTCTGTCTGATTTTTTTAATGAAGGATTGGAATAGTGGCAAATACCATGTGTGGGAATGAATTTATTTGCATGGAGAATTTTCACCTTTTCCTCTGGCGGTGGCTCCCAGAAGATGATGTCACCTTGCAGCTCATTGGTTGTGCGGCACCTAGTGCGGGGAAGGGAGAGAAAGATGCCGGCACAAATCTCAGTGGTGGATCTAGGGTGTTTGCGAGCAGTTTTTGATAGAATCTTTGATTAGTATTGAGAATTTACTGCGTGTGGCCATGTGAGGTGCTGGGTCCGTCCTAGGGTGAGGGGATTGAAGAGCTATCAGAGGAATGAGGCGGCTGATCTGCAAGAGGATCTGTGATTGTAAGTTGAAAAAATCTGGGTGGAAGAGACAGGGAGTGCTGGTTAGACACATTGTGGGAGGATGTGTAGCAGAAAATGCATGCATGAGTAAAAGAAGAAAAGGGAGAAGCGTTTGTCTTTGGTAGACTGGAATGATAAAAATTATATAAAGGGCTTTCCTTTGGGGAAAATATTCAGAAATGGGCAAAATTTTCAATCTCTGCTAAGATATTTTCCCTTTGTGGGAATGAATGTGTAGGATTCATTTTTATGTTCAGTTTTACAGTGGTTAATTATGAAGGCAAAATAATATTTTGTAAGAACTTAACATGTAGAAAATGCTGTTTATTTCTCGTTGTCATTTTATTCCTAGGTCAGAGACAGAGGACAAAGTGATAAATATTTGGCTTTATTTATTCATTTTATGAAATTCTATGAAATGTGAAGCAGAATAGTTGATTAGGCAATAAATATACATCTATTCTAATAGCTGTATTTTTATTTAATGTATCCTTTTCTAGACAAAAGCTTTGATGATGAAGAGTCAGTGGATGGAAATAGGCCATCATCAGCTGCTTCAGCCTTCAAGGTTCCAGCACCTAAAAAGCCAGGAAATCCTTCAAACAGTGCAAGAAAGCCAGGATCAGCTGGTGGGCCTAAGGTTGGAGGTAACGTAAAGCTATTTAGATTCTAATCGGTGTTCCCAGAAACCTTGCCAGAGCAGGCACAAAACAGAGAACTTCGGAAGGTGATGTTTAATTCATGACTGCAGTATTTTTGCAGAGCTGAAAGCAGCAAAGGACCCTGTTTTACGTAATTATTCATATGTAAAGGTGTGTGCATGTCTGTCTGTTTTTGTGAATGTACATTTAGCTTATAAAGAAAGGCCTCTCGTTATAAATAAAATTAACATCTGGAGATAGCAGTTGTGTTGGTAAAATGAATATATGGGTCCTTCTGATGGAATCCACACATCGCTTACTGTATATATAAATATACTGTGAAATTCTGTAGTAGGTCTGTGTAGATGAAATTTTTACTGTAGGTCTGCGCTGTTTCACATGGCTAGAAAGGACTAGCTATCAACCATATACCTCAACAGAGGTGTATATTACACCTGAATGACTTTTATTATTATTCCTTAAACTGTCAGAGTATTGTGAAATTGGTTGTGAAAGATAAAAAACGAGGGCCAAAACCCTTGCCAGGATTTTTTTGCATGGTAGACTTCAAAGCAGTATAATGATGATGCCTACTAATTATAATCTTTGAACAGGGAAATCCGCATTTTTTTAGGGCGGGGGTAATCTAACAAAAGCAGCTGTTTACTGCTAAGGAAGTGACAGCTTTTTTGATGGTTCGTGTACACATTCAGAAAAATATATAATTAAGTGGAAGTATACCATGCTTCAGGTGTGGCTTTTTTAGGAATAATTGATTCTTTCAGTAAGGGATTTTCGTAAGAGTAAGTAATTTTTTCATGTTCCTAGTCACATAACGTTCCCTTATGTGAACTGCAAAGCAAAGATAAAATTTGAGAGAAGATACGCATGCCAGACAAGCTGCCTTAAGTATTTTCATGTTAATAAGATATAGCTATATGTTTTGACTTTTTATTGTTTTTCTAATGTGATCTTCAGAATTCCTAATAAATTGAAAAGATTCCCATAGGGCGGGATCAACACTGCCAGCGTATAACTCAAAATTGATAGCAGTATGAATCAGAAAGTACCACCTAAAAGACTTCCTAAAGGAAGTTCTCTCTTGACATTGACTCTTAGTATTTATTATTATTACACGAATAAGTAATAATACTATCATCTCCTTTAACCTGAAGCATGGTGGTTTTTGCATGCAAGACTAACATATATAGTACCAGAACTGAATGCTCAGGATTCCTGTTTCTTTCAGTATGTGCTGCTTTTAATAATATTTTATTAAATATAGATTTTTTAATGTAAAATTGTTTTTACATGTAGACTTTCACTTTACATGCTCTGCAGTAAAAACACGGAGATAGAAGAGCAGGGGAAGGGAAATAAGAACAGAATAACTGCTCGACTGATTTTTTTTTTTTTCCCCAGTTTATTTAACAATTCAGGAGTAAAGGAGATTAGAAAAACCCAAAAATGATTACATTGCTTTTCCTCCTTTTCCTATATTGCCAAACTTCAAAAAATTGAAATGAAAAAATACATGGAATAAGGATAAAATCTAAGCATGCCAAAACCAGAGAACTTTGGTCATTCCTTGCTTTATACTGTCTCCTTTCAACTCTGGAAAACACTGAGGAGTGTTCACATGTGCACCTGTTTCCCCTCTTTTTTTATTCTGTCAGTATGTCTGTAGTCAGAATTTTGAAAATTTAGGATTAAATGTTTGGCTGGCCTTTATAATGTTGATTAAATTGTTCTTTGAATGCTTGTCTGTATGTGCATCTATGGCGTGGTCATACAGACTGCTCAGGTGCTGGACCATGGAGAATTTTTGCCTTAATATTTTGTAGGAAAGATGTTATGCTTTGTATTCTTCACCAAATAGCGAGAAAGTGGAAATTTGTCTTCCAGTTTTCAGTTGTTCTCGATTACTTCTAGTTTTTTCTCTTTCTGTCTACCTGGGAGAAACTTTTACAGGTCTATTAATCTGCTTGTGCACAGGTTTCTTTCATTACATATAACTATATGCTTCCTAGTTTAATTCTTCTTTGGTGGTGTGTGTGTCCATCCCTGTGTCGTTGTCGTCGTCGTCCCCCCCCCCCCGATTTTCCTTTGAGTTGACCCTCAATCTTTTCTTTTTAGCATTTTCCATATGTTACCATTGATCAGCAAGGCTATTATCGCTGTTTTTATTTTTACCAGCTAGTCTTCATTTTACTCCTGCTGCTCATTATTTGTATCTTTCAATGTTTTTCTCCATCTCCATACTTTTTTTTGAGGTTACCAATGTTTAAATTAGTTCTCTCTAGTAACAAGCTTGCTAGCAGATAGAAATGTTAAATGTCTGCACTGAGAGCCTTACCCTTCTGCATAGTATTTACAAATCCTGCATCTCCTAGCCTAATAAAGAACATTAGTGTAGATACCAAATGTTTTTCTTAAACAAGTCAAGTCATAGTCTCTTCCAGAAGTGAGGAGTTTCCCATAACGTTATTTATATGAACAATGATACTAGGTCAGACGAGGTCTATATAGTCCACTGTTCCATCTGACGGTAGTTAAAAATGGCTACTAGAGAAATGTACGTGAACAGGGCAAGTGTCTAGAAGCACATGGTCATTACAGGACAAAATGCTGGGTTTAGAGAGCTTTATTCCGCAGAGAACCATGGTCTTTGAAGCGTCCAGTTAGGGCATCCTATTCTGCTTATCTTGAGACTTCATGGATCTTTATAGCTAGAAACAAACCTTGATGCTCTTTCACATCCACTTTCTGTAGGATCTTCTTTGCAGGTGCCTAAAGGACACCTGAGATTTTTCTCCAGCCTCAAAATTGCCATCTTTATGGAGCAAATCTGTGGTTCCTGAAGTTGTCTGCTTTTGCTGATTTATTAAGGCTCTGCCATATCTTGCAGTCCCAAATCCTTCTGCTCACCACTCCATTCCAAGCCTGTATTCAGTGGGAATGTCATTTCTCACCTTGCCCTCAAAAACACTGGCCACAGGTATTTCAGGCTCATAACTGCTCACCTCACAGTTCTGCCACCTGTTGATCCTGCTTGCCTTGCAGCCTTCTCTGACTCTTTCATGTATACATGTATACATACTAAGAAGTTGCAGTTCAGCCTTGGAGGAAGAAGTAGCAGCAGCTCCATTAACTGTGTTGCTTTTTCTTTCCTTTTCACAAAAATCTCCAAAGTCAGGTCAGTGACCCACAACTGAAGCAGTCCTTCGCTGCATTTTCTTCTCTTCAGGCTTCTGTGACCAAGCAGAACTGCTAGTACAAGTCGAAATTGTGCTGAGCATAGGCTGAGATTACTGCAAGTTCCATTCATTTAAACTGCCTGTCACATTCGAGAGGTCCTTTTCCTAGGATATTGCTTTAGAACGATGTCTTTTCCTATCAGCTGTAGATGACAATAAAGTAAGTGCAACTTTTTCCTGGTTCCAAAAGGGAGTGGAGGCTATCCTGTCTTGAGGCTAAGAAAATTAAATCTCTTAGCCATGCTGCTCGCTTTGTTTTATGCCAATATCTGCTGAATTATACCTCAGATGCATGCGTGCTTGGCTTTTCATTATATACTCCATGGAGATGTTTCTTATTGAAGAAATGGATAATTCCACCACTGACCAGATACTCTGTTGAAGTGAAAGGACCCATCCAATATGCAAAAAGAGATTTTTTTTTTCACCATATTGGGCACTTTTCATTTAATGTAGGAAATGCACTTTGGTGGCATTGGAAATGCAAAATCATTGTCCAGAAAGGCAGGTGAAACAGCTATGTACATTAGCAATAGCAGTGTCCTACTCGGGCTGGAATTCTCTCTCCTTGTGCTGGGAGTGACTGTGCAAGATCTTTTCCTGTCGGCTGTAGGGATGGGAGAACTTGCAGAACCTGTGCATTTGCTGACAGGTGTGATTAAGTCTGTAGAAGACAGCTTGCCAGAAAGGTATCAGAGCAGGCAGCCTCAGCAGGGTACTGCCCTGGGAGTAAGAAATCCAGCAGTCTGTTTCTCATCTGACTTCACTGCTGGGAGGTGTTCAGACACTGACCTTCTTGCTTGTGATGAATGAGAAGTGATGGGTCTTCAACTTAATGGGGCAGCGCTTTGTTTGGCATATTTCTTATTGCATGGTCAATACACCTCCCCGAGTTAGTCCTTTGCCAGGAGATGCACAGCTGATCTGCCTACTTCCGACACACTTGCTTTCAGCTCTTCATTCAAGTGGCTGAGCCTCTGGAAATACCACTTTGCTCTAAGGCCTTCTTACTGAGAGTGTGCACCGTGTGTGTTCTGCCCTTCCAGAAATGGATACTCATGGGTTCTTTCTTGGCAGTATGGCAAGCAGCTTTTCGATTGTAAGGGACACCATAATTTACAGTAGAAAAAGACTTGAGTACATTAGCCAAATGAGCTATATTCTTGTCCCTGCACTGTTCAAGATCTCTTATAGGGCTTTGGCAGGTTCTCTTGCAAATGTGAGCTCCCTGTTCCAAGTCTTCTAGGGAATTGTTCGCTTGTATACTATTCAGAAGCTTTATGTAGTCCAGATGTTCGTAGGAGACGTCAGTCTATCTCAACAAGAAGACTGGCCTCCTTTCTTTTCCCAAAATGTTAGTTTACGTCAGTAGTCTTTGAAATGGATTCAATGTAGGAATAGTGATATTTCAATAGAGCCATGTGGCATCTGAAAGAAAAGCTTGCTGATGAAACCAAATCATGACAAAAGCTGGTATTAACTTTCTGTTGTATGTTTTATGAGAAGCTCTGTAGGGCTGGATCATGGTTCTTAATGTTGTAATTTGAAACAAGGTGGACTTTCTACTTTTTGCAGTTGTCTTCAGTGGGAAGATACTACATCGCGTATTTTTACCTATGGCTTGTTGGCTTTTTTTAATCTATAGTGTATTGGCCTACTAGTGTTATTACATATTGCTTACTGTTTAACACTAATAAGGATGTTACACTTTTTGAAACAACCTATGTTGCTTTAGGATGAATCATCCAG